ATGGAAAAGAAAATGGAAACTATAGGGATTATAGGGGTTATAGAAGGGGTGTATAGGGGTTTTATAGAGGAATAATGGAAAAGAAAATGGAAACTACTATAATGGGGTTATATAGGGTTTAGGGTTACCATAATGGGTATATATATAGTAAATAATGGGGTTTCCCCAATATAGTAACTTAATTTAAGTTCCTTAACAGCAACCCAGGAATCTCTTCACCCCAGAGCAACCCGACAAGGCGAAGGCCAGACTTGGGTGGCGGAGGGGCAGACAGGGTTCGGGTTTAGGGATAGGATTTTTGCGTAGGGGTTGAGTAAGGGTAGGATGAGGGTGTAGGGGTTCAGGGTAGGATGAGGGTGTAGGGGTTTATGTCTTAGGGGCGTGGCGTTTTAGAGGTAAGCTTTCAGGACTCAGGGTCCTACGAGTTCTGGGCGCTCATACTGGTTGAGGAAGCCTGTACTGCATAGGTACAGGAAAGCTATGTTTTTATGAGCTACAGCCTAAACTCCGTAAAGGGGGATATATAGGAGATTATACATGGGACTACTACAGGGATTATTAAGGGGGATACTAGGAGTTGGGACTATAGCTCATGTATTATGATATGGCTACGGCTACTTGCTAAGCTTGCAGCTCTAGACTCGAATCCCGAACCTCAACAATGAACCCTAAACCCTTAGCCTTGATGATTTGTAGTTTCGGTAGGTTCACTTCGACAGGCTAACTAGTATAAATGCGGTTTCCAGCAGATGCTCTTGTCACCAGCTTATGACAGAAATGCAAGAAAATTGGCATTCTAGGCGTCATATGGCGTAGGTTACAAGCTATGATCAGAGTGGCAGTTCAAAGGTTTAGGGTTTAAGGGTTTGAGGATTTAGGGTTCAAGGGTTTGGGGTTTGAATGTTTAGGGTTTAAGGGTTCAGGGTTGGAGGGTTTAGGGTTTGGGCAATTTGGGCTCCATGTCACATCGCGTAGTGTGTAGCCTAGCAGAGTGGGTGAGCTCAGGCCATGATGGGTTTAATCAGCTGATGTTGGGCCGCACGCCTTGACCCTACAGAGGTCCATGTACCCAACAATAAATGGTTGGTTGTCAAAATTATGGCCCCTTTTTGGGTCTCTATCATAATACGGCCCCTAATATTTAGGGTACCCAAAAAGGGACCATAATTTTGACAGCCACTCAAATCAGGGTGTGTACTACATTTTTCTTTCCCAAGCCCCAGGTACGCAACTAATCCACTCCGCTTAATAATGGCCCTCCCAACCCCCCCCCCCATAATGAACGTATCCCCCAAGAACATATTATATTATTAGGGGTGGGGAGGTTTTGCTGCCAATGGGGTGTATTGGATACCTGGACCCTGTGGGTATGATGGCCTCCTAGAAGTTGCGGGGGAAAGCGGCTAAGGACTTGGGGTTTGTGGGCTGCCAGGCCCCGGTATTTTCCAGAAGCAGCAGTTTCATCAACGCGCAGAATAGGGGGTTTAGGGTATATAGCATATTTAGTAGTAAAGGGTATGGAGGTCCCCTTGCAACTTTCCAATTGTCAGGTGGTCCCGAACCAGGAGCACCCGCAGACGCTCACTGAGGACGCCCATGCAGGTTTACATGCGCATGAACTTCCTGAAAGCTCTACAGGGTTCGTTTCGTGCTTTGCGTCTGACGATGCCATAATGCTGGTATGGATAGCTGGCAGAAGTAGAGCCCTTCCGTAGTCAACCTGTTAAGCGTTTCTTACAAGAAAAACCGTGTTTCATCACGGCACTTTGGGTCATTCATGAAGGCAAGCCCCGAGCATACTCATGGGAGGTGGCCTTGTTTTCCGGCGATCCCCCTGTTACAAAAAGTGGTCCGGGCCGCTAAATAAAAGGTACAATTCTGAAAATAGGGCGGGTCTCTCAACTACCCATGCTTGGGGGATTGCTGCGAAGAGGTACTGGTGAGGGGAGAGTGGGGGAGTTGATCCCTAGGGCTGGCACAAGTGTGTTAGCTTATGACTCATGTGAGCTATGGACTGAATTTAGGTTGGGGGGGACCTATACGGGACTATATAGGGTTTTGGGGGCGACCCATTAAGGGATATACTACAAATTTAGTCCACGGCTCGTATGACTGATAGATTTAGCAGGCACTTGCATGCTACTTGGTTCGCTCCCCAGGTCCTATGGTTCTGAGATCTCTGGGGATTGAGTTTAAGAGGATTCTCTGGATTCTGCCAGCACCCCCCCAAATGCCCCTAAGCTAGGGGCCTACAGCAAGGACTCCCCAGACTGGATTGCTCTTAAGGAATTTAAACTAAGTTAATATAGTAGGAAGCCCGATTATTTTCTATATGCAAATGTTCTGGTAACTCAATTTGGTCCTTTCCTAAAATTAGGGGTACCTTATTTTAGGGCTCCCCATGACAAGAATCATAGTATTTTGGGTGTATATCGGGGTCCCCTATTTCGGGAAACCACCATTTAAGTTCTTTACCAACAAGCCAGTGTAGCATGAAGCCCCAACAAAGCCAACTCCTTAGCTTGCAGTCGTCTTACTGGTTCTTAGCAGGAAATATGGGAATGTAATCCCCATAATTATAATCCCTATAGAATATATTCCCTTATTCCCAACTAAGCACAAGTAAGTCTTCAGTTCCTTTTCATAGCCAAAGCCCTGAAACCTCACCCCAGACTCAAAAGTCTCAAGAACACACTCCTAAACTCCACAAACCCGAAAACCTAAAAACTACAAACATCCCAAGCTTAGACTCCCAGGTCCTACGCCCAAGAAGGCTTAGGGTTTGCGTGTACCCTGCGTGGGCCCTGTCCCTACACAATGACGATAAGATAGGAAGTGGCTCCTGCGCCGAAACCCTGGCTGCAGAGGCACCTGCCTGAGGAGCCTTGAATTGGATTTTATAGGGTTTAGGGTTTAGGTTTAGGGCATTTAGGGTTTAGGGTTTGGGTTTTAGGGTTTAGGGTTTGGGTTTAGGGTTTAGGGTTTAGGCATTCAGGACTTAAGCTTCAGGATTTTTGGGTTTAGGGGTATCCAGGTCAACGCTTTTCTTGGTGCACCCCAATCCCGTCAGCCCGCGGCCAAAAAACTCTAACCTAAGGGTGAGACCCTCCCTCTCGGTCTGTAAGTCAAACCCTAAACCCCCAACCCTACACCCCTAAAACCCTAAACCCCCAAACCCAAACCCCTGAGAGGAGCCTGGGGCCTCAGAAGATCTTCTCCTGAATTTCATGCAGGCCCTCGAAGAGCGAGGCCAGTGGGCATGACGACCCTGACATAAACTGGGATTAGGTTTTATAGGGCTTAAATTACCACATTATCCCCCTATAGTGGAGAATCACACGGAAAAGCAAACGGAGAATGACATGGAAACTGGGAGAATATAGGGATTCAAGGCACACAAATTAAGTTGCCATATCGTGGAAACCCTATGATTTACTATCTATCCAACTTATGGTAACTTAATTCAAGTTCCTTAACAGCAGCTCAGTAAAGGGTTTAGGGTTTGGGGTTAGGGAATTGCCGTCTCCCTTGTGATCACTACTAGTGGGTGTGGGATGTGATATTCGTTCTAGTTGCTTAAACCCCTATATTCCCCCAGTTTCCATTTCATTTTCCATGCTCTTTTCCATTTGATTCTCCATTATGATATTTATTCAGGTACCCCTAATTTTGGGAAACCCTAAACCCTATCAATCCCTATATTCCCCCAGTTTCCATTTCATTTTCCATGTTCTTTTCCATTTGATTCTCCATTATAGGGGGATAATGCAGTAACTTGAGGCCTAAACCCTAAACCCAAAAACTTTACCATTTGGCAGTCGGAAAAAGGAGCTGAAAAACAAACAAAAACAGTTTTTCCATTCGATTCTCCATGATAAGTGGCCTGAGGATCCAGGGAAGACGTGCGGGACCTATTAAGGGATATACTACAAATTTGGTCCAGGGCTCACCTGAATTTTGGTGCTGGGCTACTTGCGAGCGCGGCCCATCTTTCGAGACAGAGAACAACTCTCTCCTCCGAATGTGCACGCTATGAAGACTCATATCATTCAATTTTTTGGGGGGTATTCAAGAACGACTAAGCAGAACTCAACACATGCGCGCAACAACAGTATTCCTCATCACTGGGCCTGCTCAGAAGGATTCCAAACAGATTTCCACAGTTTTTGCCAGATGGCCAGGCGTTCAGCTCTATGAAGCGCAGGAGGAGGCTGTGGTGGAGATCTTCTCCGGCGCCCATGTTGTGCTGGACACCCCAACGGGCAGTGGCAAGTCTTTGGTTGCAGTTGCCGCCTTGTTTAAGGCCCTGGCTGAAGGAGGCAAAGCCTACTACACGTCGCCGACCAAAGCTCTGACGAGCGAAAAGTTCTTCGACCTTTGCCGTCACTTTGGGCCCGCCAGCGTGGGAATGGCCACAGGCGGGTGAACATGTAAGAGCATTTTTTCCCACGTCCTTCTGTGACCTGCGTGCGTTAAAGCCTGAAAAGTGTTAATGCGGACCCCTGATTAATGAACCCTTTCGTTATAAGGGCCTTACTATTAGGCTCCTTGTTACAATCCACATAAAGGGGAGGAGGTTTATTAATCATGGGTCCACATTAGTCAGGCGACATCTCCCTGAACCAGCGGGCACCTCTGATTTGCTGCACAGCTGAAGTTCTGGCCAGCATCGCGCTGCACGAGGGTCCAGCATCCCGGATCACCGCTGTGGTCATGGACGAGTTCCACTATTTCGCAGATCCTGACCCTGGGCTGCTAATATAATAATATAGTAGCATAGCAACATAGTAATATACCTGAACTCCCAAATGTATGAGAATAATTGCCTTTTCAGCTACTTTTCAAGGTTTTGGACTGTTATTCTACCTACTTTTGCGGTCCAGGTAGATGTTTGGTGGCCGTAATCCTTATAAACTCCCGCATATTTGCTACACAATAGCAGCCATCAGCTGTACCTACGTGCTGTGGATGCCTTATTAAGCCGCCTAGGTAGGAAGGCACTGAAGTTATCACCAGGGCATGCCCTTCGTCCCTCAACATTTTCTTCGTTGCGACTGTAGAAAACACTTGGATATCTAGCCATGAGGGGTTTTTCTATGTGGATAGTTCCCAAAGTATAAAGAAAGTTAGGGTCCCATTTTGAAACCCCTAAATATTAGATGCCGTAATCTAGTCTGTAAGCAATAGCTCATGGTTTTGGGAATAACCCATGTAGCTCAACTGAGGACCGGGGCTCTGCCTGGGAGTTGCCTCTCTGGCGCCTCACGGGCCCTGGGTGCAATACAAGCTTCCTGCTGATGTCCGGCACACTGGGGGCCAATGACGGGCTATACCGGACTTTGCGACAGGACTCTCTTTGAGTAGCTTTTTGAAATAATGCGATTTGAGGTCAATAGTATTTCCTTGTTTAGTATCTTATGAGGAGAAGAAATTGCTACTTGGTTCAGCCACCCGAAATGCCCCTTTCTTGAGAATCCATTTTCAGGGTGCTGGTGCAAGACACTATGCTGTCACATTCTGTTGATAGCACTTCCAGGGGGACTGATGAAACATGACGAAGATGTGGCATAGTTAAAGACGTGAACCAGCCTCCCTGAACACTGAACTCCAAATTAGTAGTATCTTATTTGGAGATACTATGGTACCCATTATAGAGTAAGATTATATCCTCCTTTTGGGCTATAGTATTCTATATAAGGAATATAATCTTACTGGGTTTAACCACCAAAAAAACGTCACCCAAATGATTCTTTATAGATATGCATCCCAGCGGGCAAGGCAGCGCCGACGGGGATCACAATTTCATCTGTGTGCTTGGAGGTTCTGACTTTCTGTAAGAGCTTTTGTGGGGAAAGGCCAATGGTTAACGTCCAAGGCCGCCCAAGAACTGTCAGCGGTCCCGGCGCGACATTGGGTGTTCGTCGTAAACCAGCATGCGCACCGTTGTGTGTAGCCCAATACGGCAGAAACCCGCCCAGAAAAGGACCACCAGCAGCGCCCGCAGAACCTCCCAGAACTTCAATCAAGGCTTGCCAGTGCTATCAGCCGAGCAGGAGCCAAGGCCCTGCAGGCCGCGCCCAAGTCTGCCTCAAGAAGCTCAGCACAAGAGCCTTGCAGAAATCATAAGGAAGCCAGCATGGAGCGTGGCCACCAAGTAACTAGCAGACAGCCAACAGTCGACTATAACCCAGCAACGTCAGGAAGCCTGCTGCGAGAGCGCCCGTCCCAGGCGGCCGCTGAAGTAGCACAGCTTCACAGACAGCCGCTTAGGAAGCCAGCATGGAGCGCGGCCGCAAAAGTGACCCCACAGAAAGCCGGCAGTCCACAGTTTGCCAAAATGAGGGTTCCAGCTTCGTGACAAACAGTACCCGGTGTTGTACAATCACGGATTTGAGAATAGGAAGAGGTTGGTGGGTCTGGGGTCGTATGCAGTTGATCTTTCAGAGTTGGGTGAAGGTCTTAAGGTCTTGCGGCGTGGTAGGACCGGTGGCTTCTGGAGGGGTCCAGAATTTACAGGGCTTGCATGTTCTGCGCCTGGAGGCTTCATCCCTAGCCTTATGTAACCCTATATGACCATACATACCCTTTTATTGCCCCATATTGTCCCTATATTACCTCCCTCCCCAACACATTTGAAATAGCAGCTTGCAATGCAACACAGGTCATTGAGGAGACCCAAAGGTAAAGTCGGGATAATGGAAAAGAACATGGAAACTTCTATAAATGGGGTTATATAGGGTGTAGGTGGATAATGGCAAGGAAAATAGAAACTACTACATTATCCTAAGGTATATATACTCCCCTCCTCCTACATACTGCCTGACGCCGGGGGGGGGGGGGTTAATATTCCCATCGCAGTATATTGTGTATATGGGAAATATTGATGATAACGGGAGTGGGGGGGGGGGAAATATTAGAAAAAGGCGGTTACGTGCAACAGCCGGTTCAAGGTTCTTCAACCTCAGTTTTATGAATCACAGATGAGCTATAGTCTGAACTCCCAGTATCCCCCTTAGTAACCCCGATAGTGCTCCCCTATATACTTCCCTATATACTTCCCTTTAAGGAGTTTAAACCCTAAACCCTATAAACCCTAAATCCTGAATCCCAAATCCTGAACCCCAAATCCTGAACCCTAAACCCTACATAACCCCCTTAGACCCTAAATCCTAAGCCTTAAACCCTATATGACCCTTTTTATGAGTTTAGACTATAGCTCAGTTGTCCCTAGCTGGGCTCTGAAGTCCCAAAGCTTGGAAGCCCTACACCGTAAACCCTGAATCCTACACCCTACACCCTAAACCTTAAATCTTAAACC